TATGAATTAACTTAGATTGTTGTTAGAAATTTTAAAAGAGGTGAAATATAAAATATTTGAATTACACTTTTTTTCAAAGACTGCTTTGTACTCTACTGACACTTTTCCAATTTTTCTATATCTATTCATTTACATGCCACTGTTGGGCATGGGTAGGTTAATTATAGACCTGGCGTGACCGCTAGACCAAAACAAATTATTGTAATTTAGAAAATAAGTTAATTTATATATTCAGCAGGCGCAATTACAGCAAGTGGGTAACGTCGGTGGCGTGGCGACAGTCGGTAACGTCGTGGGCAATGTGGTTAGTAGCGTGGGAAGCGTCGGTAGCGTCGGCAGCGTCGGCAGCGTGGGCAGCGTTGGCAGTGTTGGCAGCGTCGGCTCTGCAGATACTGCGTTGAAGCAGCAACCATCACCTACTCCTAGGCTATCTCCACAGGTGTGTGTTGACTAATTTTTAGCTAGCATTTATTTTACTTGGGATCAGAATGGCAGGGTCGGTAACTTTGTCTGTCTTGGGTTACCATGGTGACTGCTATCTCAGCCGCTAAAAGTTGGGATTTACGCACCCAAAGTTGTAATGGCTCGTTTACTTCGTTTTATAATATTATAAAGCAAACAGTAATGTTCACGTTAAAGCGTTCCGGTTCGGAAGGGTAAGGATGCTGGTGAAATTACAGGCCCATGGACTTGTCAACGTATGTCTCAGGGTGACGGGCGCAGTGGCAGTGCCCCTAGGATGTTTGCGATTTAAAGCTCTGAGTGGTACTGCAAATATTATGGACAGGCGTGTCGCTTACCACCAGGCGCTCCACTTGTTCCTCCCGTCATTTGGTATTATAAAAACAGGCCTATCCAGTGTAAATACTGAGTCGTTCAATGACCGTAGTTCGTTGCCGAAATCGACCGAATCGATTAGGTGTAGTCACTGTCAAGTGGCTCGGTTGCCTTCGTGAAGCGACAGTCGACCAAATAAGTTATGATGCGGGTGCGAGGGAATAACTATTTACCTGATCAGTTTGTTAAACGTTTCGAGCAATTTGATGTGTCTTTGCGTAAACTTTTATTTATAATGTAGTTATTTCGGCGAAGGCAGCAGTTTACTGGATGTAAACGACGCGTCGACTGCGCCGCCTTGTTAGTCGAATTCGCTTGTCGAATAATCAACCCTGTATAAACACATGCACGGTGCTACCGCCGCATGAATCGTAGCACGCATGAATCGTAGCAGCTGGATGCAGAAAGTCAAGAACGAGATAGTACTCCTGCGCATTAACACCTCACGCAGGCGTAATGTGGACTATCAAGAAGCGCAAAATTACATATCTCGGTCACGTGCTTCGACACTATAAGTACCGACAGCCTCAACTTATAATGATGGGAAAGGTTGAAGGCAAGAGACGCGCTGGAAGACGTAGAAAGTCATGGTAAGTCAACGTAAGGAAATAGATCGGAGTCACGAGCGCAGAATAACGTTTTGTTTGGCCTTGGACACGGATAAATTTGCCTTATTGACGGACAACCTCTAGTAGTGGAGAGGCACTTTAAAAAGAAGAAATTTTGACGACCCCCAGTAGTTGTTTTTTTGTTGTCGGTTTTCATGGTGTCGCCATTTCTGAGGTCCCGGGTTCAGTCCCTGACCGGGTCAGTGTAGAAACTAACTTTTCTATATTGTCTCGGGTCTGTGTGTTTGTGGTACCGTCGTTGTTTCCGATTTCCATAACACAAGTGCTTTAGCTACTCACTTTGGAAACAGATGTGTAACAGTATGTGATGTTGTCTAATATAATATTGTCAATTATTTGGTCAAGTGTGAGTTGTCCATAAAAATGACTACACTAAAAAAAATTCTTTTAAAAGAACTATAAACACTATTTTCACACCCCATATTAAGCAAATTATCGTTCAACCCGCAGGTACACGATATTCATTCAACGCAGGCGTCGACGAACCAGCTGCTAACGCAACAGTTGACCAATCCGCCGCAGCCGCTTAACCCGCAGAAAATGCAGTCCGCAATCATTCATATACAGCACCCTCTTATGTCCAGTGCTGGAACTTCACAGGTTAATTTATTGATATAATCTTTGTATGTAAAGGCTTACGCAGTTGGGCACAGGACTCACCGTTATCCGGAATTCTAAAGAACTAATTTAATCTGTAGACCATAGGAACATTAATATTAAATGTTATATCGGAGTCTAACAGCCTGCCTTTACTGGCGTTGTGGTCATCGAGTATATAACCAGAAATAGAGACGAAATAAGGGCCGTCCATCACTGGCAACTCATCAGGCAAATGAGCCTTATGTCACTTATCAACCCTCGTTTGCGCTGAAATCACAAATTAGAAAGCTGAAATAGTACAACACCAACAACTGACCTGTGTGTACGTCTCCGTATATTTGAAACATATTCATTGTAATAAAGATAATATTTCTAAGGCTGTTCCATTCGGTACAAAACAAATGGAATCTCATTTTATCGGTAATTAAATATTAAATATGTAATTTTTCAATTTTCGTCCATTATAGCAAAGATCAAGTTAAACTGGTCGATTTGAAGTGAAACAATTGATGACACCCGTCAATTGTTTCGAATTCGGGCTGGCCAATCGGAGCGCAGTTGTCACCATAATGATTAGGCAGAATAGTTTTCAAACCAATTAAATGACATTTCGTCTCTATTTCTGGTTACTCGATGGATGTTCTTGTTGTATCCTTTTGAGTTGTAGACACTTCACCTTGTCTTCTTATATTGAAATGATTTATTTTATTATACACAAGCCAAGGAGTATATTGTCCCGACGATGTCTGATTCTCTCCATACCTACATACATGCACGTCTACATACATGCGCACACACAAAGATTCGTGAACAAGCGGTGATTAAATATGTCGTTCTCTAGTGATTTTGCAGTACTTTTTTTAAAGTAATTAATTCTGAACTACGTATTCGAGTTTCACGGAATTTGTTATTTGACATTATAATTTTCTTCCCCATGAGGTAAAATGACAAATTAATTTTAATACTTCAGATTGAATAATAATGATAACATAACAAAAATACCGTACAAATGAAATACCGTCGCACCTATTTAAAAATTCAAAAATGATCTTTTCTGCGACAGTTAAAAGGGCACATTGACATTAAAAAAAAAGAAATTGTTATGTATACTGCCGTCAGTAAGCAACAAGTATAATATCATTGACTGCCATGATCCGTAAAAAAAGCCAATCTGTCACTAGTTTAATTTTCGTAAGTCGATAAGATAATATGAAGTTACCGCAAGAGAAAAGTAGATATTTTTTTATTTAACTTCTTTAGACATTATTTTCTCGGTTTTGAGTTTTTGTCACAAGCGCCCTTTCAACTAACGGCGGCAGTTTTAGGTCATAGGGTTTGATAAGAGAGAAATAAATACCCGAAAAAATAATAATAAGTTTAAATAGGAAATGAAACTATTTTTCTGGATTTAAATCGCGTATATTTGTTTTTTCAAACAAACCGACGTTTCGGGCCCGTTACAGGTCCCATGGTCACGGTTGACTGAGGTGGTACAGTCTTCAACCAGTTATGTCTAATATTGATGCAAACCACCTTATTTTTTCACTATAGTTACAATAGTTATTAATGAAATACCTTATTTTTAAGAAACGTCGTTTTGTTTGAAAAAACAAATATACGTGATTTAAATCCGGAAAAATAGTTTCATTTCCTATGTGTAACAATCGCGAAAACCTAAGAACTCGAGAATAAGTTAATTTTTTTTTTTAATTTAAATTTTAATTACATTTAATAATTCGAAATTTTCGGTTGTTTTTATTGAAATCATGTACATGGAAATATCATAACATTGCACTCACGTATTTTACGAATCAATTAAAACTCGACCTTAATTGTGTATATGTCAGGTTAAAATTGGAAGTGATATTTTCCAGGATTAAAGAGTTTTTTGATAATTGCCAGTATTCGTAAAGTTAGATTGATTTTAAAGCTAGAAATTAAGAAAATTGTTCTCTCTTTGTGTCTCAGGTACAAAATATCCAGTATACAAACACATCGACGACTCAGCAGAAAGCTACCATTACTAAACCGAGGACAACGAATCCGGCAATCAGTGCACTTGTTACCAGTCTTATGAATTCTGCTCAACAGTTTCAACAAGGTAATGGAAATCATTAATTTTATACATTGATCGTGATATCTTCGAAACGTATTTTGCCGAGTTTCCATTTACGTGTCTCGCCAGGTCGGGTTAACGGGCCATAGATCAATAATTAGGCTCTTTTACAACGCACCGCAGCTGTAGCGGCTTGCGACCGTTGAATAGCACCATCTCTATTATTGCCGGCCCTATAGCGACCGCTGTGGCGTCACGTGTACAAGTTGTAAAAATAATTTAGTTATTGTCTGACCCTGTATACATAAATTGATAAAATTATTATGCCCGAACATTAATAATTATAAAATTTGAATTTAATAATTAAAATGAAATCGAATAAAAATACAAAATTGGAGGCTAACAACGCAGATTTTGAGCCTTTCTATATCGCGGATCTTTAAAGAACCAAACCTTTTTAATGGCAACATACAGATCCGTACTTCGTGGTGGGACGTAGGTGGGGTACATATGGGTTGGTAATAATGATGACTTTGATCAACTTGTAATATTTTATTTTTATTGAATATCATGATGTTATTACTACCCTGATATTTATGTATTTTTTGTGAAAATAATCCACTGGTTTGTTACTATTATTGATTCAAAGATTTAGCAAACACAAAGAAAAAGTAGTAGCAGTAGACCTCCATGTGAAAGAATTCGTTCAGGGAAGTATCGCCACCTCATTTATTTCAGCTACCAAGCTGTATATATATCATGATTTGATCGATATGCCAATAAGTACGTATTGTTTCTTTTACAGCGGCACAAAACCAGAACGCAGCAAAAGCAGTAGTGAGTACAGCGAGCCAGAGTCAGAACGCGACGATATTGAATCTTCTGAACAGTGCGCCTGCGGCCATGACACACGCGTCGTCGACTGCAGATGCTACTATGGACGCGCACAAGTTATTAGGGCGAACCGTGTCGATAGCTGGCGCACGACTTATTACTACCACTGCTACGCACACTATACCCACGTATACGCATCAGGTAATAGAAATATAGTCGGCATTGGAATTCGAGATCAAAAATGTAAACAAGGCGTCGCCATTACAAAAAAAATATTAAGAAGTGTGCGAATATGAAAAGATAAAAAATGCATGATTAGTTTATATTGTGCTTACTTACACCGAAATAAACTAGAAAATGCTCATATTTTTGTGACTTATGATAGATTACAAAAGCTATGATAAGCAGGCATATCTAGCCCGCTTATTATCACTTTTGTTAATGCCATACGAGGATTTTCTTTGTTCAGCTAATTCTTTATGCACCGTCAGCAATGCATCTCAGAACCTTTCAAATATTCCCTATTCTATTTGGTCGTCCTCCACGTTTAGTTAACATAATAGTGATAGAGAAAACCATGTTTTTTTTACAATTTTGTTAATCAGTGAAACTGTTTACAATTCAGGTGATGACAGGCTACACGCGCGATACGAATGAGTCGACGAACGTATCGAGCAGCGAGAGTGCTCTACTGGAGAGGTTAATGGGTCCTGACAGTAATACGACCAGCAATCAGCAGCAGCAGCAGCAGCAGCCGCAGCAGCAGCAGCAACCTCAGCAGGCACAGCCCGTTTGCCATTTACAGGTAATAATTTAGCATAGTACAGATGACGTCAGCAAAAATTCAATGTAATTAAAATTACAAAATAAAACTAAACAATTCCCTATACACCACAACCAATTTACAAAACATCCTTTTTGAGTTGGTTCAACCGGAAACAGTTAATAAATCCCATTGCCGACCAAGGGACTCTTCTGGAAGTATGAAGCCGTAGTTCACGAGTATGGCCTATTGTTATTCGGAACCTTCACAAGTCTTTAAAGGATAATTATTAATACAAAGTTTGAACACTTAAAAAAAATCGTTCGATCTGGCCGGATTCGAACCGACGTCTCCTAGCAAACCGTACCAGACGGTAAGCCACGGAACGAACCAGCGGACCTCACGAATTTTTCTATGTGCTTGTTGTCGGATCTTTGTATTTGGTTTTTCAACGACTTTTTTTAGCCTTTAAAGGATTTTAAGACCTTGCTTACCTCACTCGGGATTGTTCGCTAAGGTTACCTATACGGTGCGTCTTACGGACTGAGATTACTCTTATTATACGCTCCTGAACACATAATTCGCGCCGCCTTGCATTTTCAGTATTAATGCCCAAGCTTAAACAAGGTTTGATGGATCAAAAACTGTTATGCAATTTTGAAGCTTGGATACTAAAAGTCAGTTCCATTATCCTTGTGGAAAATTTCAATTTGTAAAATCGTGGAATACTTTTTCTTCAATGACGACAATATTTTGTATCCTAGATTTTTAAGAATAAAAGTGCAAGATGGCCTGAATTATGTGTCCAAGAGTGTAATAGAATGATAGTCGCTAATAAGGTTTGATAAATTTGATTTTTCAACTAATAATATAATATATCGTAGGTATAAAATTAGTGCACTGCCCGATGGTTGATTGTGAACTAAAAATAAACGGCAAATGATGTTTAGTAGTAGACTAAGGGCGCCTTTAAATTGCAGCGCACGGATCACGACAGTAGCGCTGCTACGGTGCCCTAAATATTGTACGAAAATTCGTAGAGCGTCTAACTTGAAGGCACCCGAAATTGAGTATAAATCTAAAAGCTTTTTTTATTTTAGTAAATTTCAATTTAGCGTCTGCCACGGTTTGCTCGAAGATGTTGGTTCGAATCCAGCCGGATCGAAGGATTTTTTTCTTAGTGTTCGATCTTTGTATTAATAATTATTTTAATTTAGCGTCTTACAAAGACCATTAACTGTTTTTCACTTACAAATCAACCTTTTGTCTTCAGGGTCTCAGTCTTACATCCTTGCAAGGTCTCCAAGGTATCCAAGGACTGCAAAACGTTCAAGTGCAGATACCAGGGCTGTCAGCGCCCATATCGTTATCGTTGAACGTGTCTGGGGCACCTAGTGGACTGCTCGTTTCTGTGCCTCCGACGACATCCGTGGTGCTCACGAATCAACCTTCGGTGCTCTCTTTGCCTATTGGTAAGTTGGTTTTAGAGTTTGATATGATTTGAGTACGGCTCTTCTATTATAGTGTGTGTGATTTATATTTTGCTTTGCGTTTTTTTTTGTCCATGTATAACATGTTTCTCGTACAAAATTGGAAAAAATGGGAGTTAATTCTAATGGTTTTATGTTTGTAACGTATTTACACTATTATCTAATACAGAGCTTTAGGTTTCAGTTAATGCTTTAAAAAATTCTTATTAAGTGTCAAAAATTTTGTATACCATATTTATTTGATCGAATATATTATCAAATTGAAATGCACGGTTGTACTGGTCAGTCGTGTAGCAACTTTCACGTTTGAGTGTCTGTCAGTAGACATAGGTGTACCAGAATCTGATGGCACTTAGACAATTTTAAATTTATAGTTGCCAACATCAGTATAATAGGAAAAAATGTACTAGATACTTCATATATCTTAATTGTCCAGAATTGATCTCACCTCGTGCATGTTTTAAGATCTGTATGAATATGTGTGTGAGAAAGGTAAGCAATTTCTGACACATTTTAAAATTAAACAAGAATGTATCAATTACATTGTGGGTGATACATTTATTTACGTTTGCAGTTTGAAGTAACTCGCATTTATGCGATTTATCTTTTTTTTACCACTCTGTAGTCTACACACTGTAGTCTTGCCGATTAGTACCTGCATAAGTACATTGGTACCACATACATTGATTTGGCATCATTAATATTTCAAAGATCAAGTTTATTTACTCCTACTAATCGGCAAGATTTGAGACCCGCTTCTAAATCGTGAAATGTGACGTAAATGCACCTAATTCATCGCTGATTTTGCGATATGAACATTATTGCAATGTTTTTTGCTTGAGATTGGAGGGGATTCTCAGTAATTTTGCTACAAAATCGTTATTTTAAAGTGAAAAAAGTTTAGCAGACAGCTATTTGACACAAGTAATATTTTGAATTGACATGTGAGAAGTTAACATTGCCAGGTGAAAGTTGTTCGATTTTTCTAATATTTAGTGCCATGAGATTGTGGTACACCTGTTGTAGCGGGAGCTAATGGTTTAATTCTAATGTGTGAGTAAATGTCGTGTGCGATGTGTTCGTCCTGGTGATTAACAAAGTGTGTGTGAAACAGCGCAGTTGATGTCGGGCGGCGTGAAGGGCGCGGTGCGCGGTGGCGCCGTGCAGGTAGTGCGGGGCGCGGGGGGCGCGAGACCGCGTGCGCCCCCACCCCGCGCCGCGTCGCGCCCTAACTTGCCCCCGCACGCGCCTCACCCACCCGCGCCGCACATAGCCGGGCTACAGCCTCCTAGCACGGGTAAGTTATCTCACTTCCTGTAGGGAAAATGCCTATCCAAACTTAGCCTCCGACCGGGAAAAACGACGTCAGCGAAGAGTACGCTAGCGATTGATTGATTGGGAACATGATGAGTGATCGCCAAAATAGACTTTGATCAGTTAAGTTTGGCGCAAGACTGTTAACTACTTACATTAATTATTTTCCAATTGTAATAAAATTATTATTATTTTACAATTTTACTAATGACGATGTACAATTTTTTATATATTTAATAGTTTAGTTTATAATAATTATATTTACATTTTCACTTAATTTTTTTTTAAATATTTTGTATGCAAATAATAATTCAATACTATAGTGTCAATAAAAGAAAAATAAAGAAAACTACATTAATAATAACAAGAAAAAAAACAAAACAAATAATATTCAAGAACCCCGAATACTTAATATAATTTAAGGGCGGAGATCCTTCTCCAATAAAAACAAACAACTAAGTTCTTAAATTGAAAATTATCCCGCGCGGGGTTCGTCTTAAGTTTGGTTAGTACTTTGTATCTCTTCATTATGACGCTGCAATAAGAGTTAATTTCATGTGTCCCTTCTTTCCAGGAACAACCCAGTTCATTACTCAAACGCAAGCGCAAGCGCTGAACGCTCACCAGGTGCGACGGAAGTCGAACACGGACAGTTCATAGTAATTACTCAATACGAGCACCCCACTGCCGAGTTAGTGTAATGTATACATACTTGTGTAGTAGTTAAAATTTATTATATAGTGCGGGGATGGCCGCTCGGGCGCCTAGTGCAATATGCGGTCTGAACTGCTGCTGCTGAGTTTATACGATTACTGTTGCCGTCGTCTTCTCCTGGTAAGTTATACTTAATTTTAATCTTAATCGTATATTTAAGACCGCACGTATATTGCAGTTTCTTATGCATGTAATTTAAGAGTATGTACACACGATTGAATACGCACACGAACACATTGATTAATCGCTTTTAATGAAAAAGATTTGGATAATTTGATAATAAAACGGCCTCCGTGGTCGAGTGGCTTGCACACCGGTTTCGATGGTGTCGCCATTTCTGAGGACCCGGGTTCGATCTCCGGCCATGTCAGTACAGAAACCTAACTTTTCTGTATTGTTTCTGGTCTGGGTGATTGTGGTACCATCGGTGTTTCAGATTTCCATAACACAAGTGCTTTAGCTACTTACTTTGGGATCAGAGCAACGTAGGTGTTGTTGTCTGATATTTATACATATTATTTATAAAAACAAACATTGTTCGATTTAATTTATTAACTTATTTGTTCCATCGTGTGCACAAGTTCTTAAATAACCTGAAATTGTATTCACTGCCGATTATACCTTAATAGTTTTCGTATCAACACAGCGGCATTCGTTGAAGGCGGAGACGTAACTCATATCGTAGAAGAATACAGTTTTTCTCACACATTTTAAGTGTAATTTAAGAAATATCAATCTTACGACTGTCTCGCGCCGAACACGAGGCCCATGGACCCCACGATACATGTAGTGATGAGTTTTTTTTTAATTCAGATTGTCTGAAGCGACCGCAAGTTAACACGTATTATCTTATGCCTTCGAAAAATAAGATCCTCAAATACTTCTTGCTATCTTACCATACATATATAATAGATATTGTTCCTCTAGGTTTTTCTGTATGTGTCAATGAAAACGTAATTGATACCATTGTAATTATTTCGGTATCAGATGATCCTTCATTCTGATATCGTACGTGACAATTCAAACTAGAAATCTTGCTGTCAAAGTAGCTTTACCTTATTTCTTCGTTATTTTTTGAAAAGAAAAGGTCAAGAAATATGACACTGTTTGCGACTCTACATCAAAGATATAGAGGTAGTGTTAGCTCTGCATTCACTTAAACGTGTTATTTATATTGGGAATTTCAATAACGATAAAATTTAAGCTTTATTCAATTAAAATAAATATAAAAAACTTAAATTTACTGTCGAAAGACTTGGTTTCGTCAATAGATACTAAAACATAAAAACTGATTTACAAGAGATTTCGTCAAAAATTCTAACCTAAAAAAATACCCTCCCTATATCGGTGCATTGCTCAAAAGTTCCCATTATACTGGCAGCATTACCTCACTGTGTGGTAAAAGGACGCCTGTTGAACTAACCATGACCTAGAGTTATTGTAGCCCTTATCTCTTAGTCACCGACCCTTCTCTTTAAATAAGTTAGGGGTTTTCAAGGATCTCACAAAATTTTGACAAGTTGAAGTGGTTCTTATTGTATATAAAATACAATTGAAACCAGATCTGGTTAAGCTGAACTACATAACAACTCCAAAACCCTTGCAAGGGCGTGTTTGATACTTTCTTGGCCGGTTTTTAGTAGTTTCGGTGAATTACAGCGAGAGGTAATTAATTTATCTATACTTGACATGAGTTTAGTGAACATCCTCTGTAGTATCATCGTGCAGACAGATGACATAAGTTATCTTGCGATCGCCGCTCACACGCTTCTATAATATTTACCATAGTACATAATATTTTTATGTTAATCCTACATTACTGCAGTTTCGTTCTGAATATATAAACAACGAATCAAATCAATAGATTTACCTAGCAATTATATGTATAGTATTTATTTTATTTTAATTATGCCAATGAATTTCATATTTTAATCATGTATTCACACATATTTTGATTCTCTATCATATAAAATATACTCTGAATCATGTGCATATTCCAGTCACAAATATAATGTAATGATATATTCAAATTTTAACATTGCTGCAAATGATATAGTGACATGACATAAATTTTGACGAAATTGGATACGTTTTAATCTAATAAGGTAGTGAAATGAAAAACCAATACGTACTTTTATCTGTAATGAAGATTTTATATTTCGTTGATTTGTTATGTTGTGATTGTAAATAGTCGTGTTGGAGTTAAAACTCTTAAAATAATAGTGTTTCTAATAAATTAAGAAACAAATCAATCACCCACCTTTAAAGGGACTAAATTAGAATGATTGGTACTTAACATTTGATTAATAAATAAATTGCAGACTCTCTGTACTTTAAAAACAATAGATTTTTCTCTAATCAGTATTAACGTAATGATTATTCGCGTCATGAAATTAATCTAGCCTTATGGAATTGCTGTTTTAGTGCAATGTTTTGGTGTTACAGGAATGTTGAGTGTATGTAAATATGTACAGGCTTTAATTGGATACAGCTTAGAAATTGGAAAACACGAATATGATTTATAGCTAAAAATGCATTGCTATACCCCATTGCACTCGTTAATTTGAACCGTTTTTAGGAAATGACATAATGGGCTATGTATATAGTGATTTCGATTTTCAAACCAGGAACTTCTACAAATTACACGGACTTCTGATTAAAAACATATTTTTTGACATTCCACACAGTGGTCGCAAAAATGACGATTTGAAGATTAGTATGTGTAAAGTCAATGACTTAAAAACTTCTTATTATACATTTTTACTACATTTATATTTTCATACTTCGAGTAGAAGGGTACTTAGCATTTTATTTTTAGCGATTGTCAGCTAGTAATCCTCTTCGACTGTTATAATTTTCTTTTTCTTAACAGCAATTTCACCTTTTTTAATTTAGCTCAAATTCACCCTAACTTGCCTAAAATCTGTTGTCCAATCCGGTATGGGAATAAGATATATTATTATTTTCTAAGCGATAAAATGTACATAATATCAAAAGTGAACAATTGGCAAATAAACGAAACAATGCATTTAGTAGATAGTTTTATCAATCCATAATATTGAGTGGAACGTCGAAATTGTTGCGCGTTTTCCTAAACCTAATTTTAGCTTAAGACAGTTTGAATTTTTAAATACTAAATTTACCGTGACATGAAGGTCGTGGTTTTTACAATCATTTTGTTGATGGGTTTTTCAAGCGTTCTGAGTAGGTGCTTTGACAGATTCTTTGAAATGAGTACTGCGCCATTTCAATACTTACAGTTCCATTATTTTACAATAGTTAAATTTGTGCTAAGCTGGTACTGCAAAAGAACCACACAATCAAAAAAGTGTCAATGGTACCCTTCGAAGAGTGTCAACGTAACTACTAAAATTAAGCCTATTTGTCACCATCGCTACCTCCCACGTAAGTTGTTGTAGGTAAGCCACAAACTAACGTTTCTTACTTTTTAAGTTAAATATATCCATATTTTGATACAATAAAATAAACAAAGCACTAAGTGTTTTCCTTATTTTTAAACGTGGAACGTTGTGTATAACATACATACATAAAAAAAGGTTATATTTAAGTTAAGCAGGAAAAAAAAGCTACTTTATGCCTTACAACAACTTATGTGTGTGGTATTGTGAACAGATAGCAATAATATTTTTATACATAGAGTCAAGAGTATATATTTACGCAAGAACATCGACTTTCTTAGGGATTTTTGTTGTCACGTGATATATGCATAATATTGTATTCGGCTGTACATTAATGTGTAGAAAGTAATAAGAGATTTGTATGGATAATTGTTGTGTATAGTTTTTCATTTAGTCGTTGATGTGTTAGGCGTAATTTACACCTTAATAATGCTCCTCAATCTATATTTTTGTGCTTCATATTATAGTCTGATTTATTTTTGTAAAATAGGTATAGTACAGAATGGAGTTCGTAGAAATGACTGTGCTGTATGTATAGAATTTTCTAGATATAGAGTCTTATATTACCTATGGTGTCTTCAATGATGTAACATGTAGGTGGTGCAGCTTGAGACGGGACGGTAATGATAGTTGCCTTAACCGTTGTAGTTACAGGAAAATAGACGGTTCCATAACTACGGACATATTTCAAACCACAATGAAACATTTTGTAAAAATAGTAATTAAACGGTGTTGTATGAAAGTGCACCAAAAATTCACCAATTTTCCAAAATCACAACATAGCACATTTAATGTAAAAAAATATTATTTTCCATTAGCTCAAAATGTTTGCTGTCTTTCGCTGACATCTATACGAAACATTGTTTTTCGTTTTCTTACAAGAGTACTAAGTCAGAAGTTCAGATGGTCCCTTTGAATCTATTAAAATGTATAGAACGCATTAGAAAGAAAATGTGACTATTTAATTTGATTTTACTGATTTTTTTAACGTTTTTTCTAAATTAATGAAAGTAGTTGGAAGAAACTCCATAATTAAGGGGTGTTATTTTAATATTATGTAATAACGTTTTAATGTTACTACAATGGTTTAAGTAGCTGCGCTTACTATCCTGTCATAGGCTTCCGCCTAGTGTCACTAATGTGTATGCCTAATAAGTAGTGTAAGTTGCGCCTAATCTTTGTAAATTGTTTTACTTGTCCTACGCACGCACCATTTGTTTTGTTAAATAATTCGCAGATAGCTTCATGGAATACTATATTTTGCGTAATTATTATACGTAGAATACCCAACGGTTCTGTATTTAGGTCGTAATGCAGTTATCTATATGTGTTCCAGGCATTCTGTGACATGCCGGTCTCAGTAATTGTTCTCCATTTTGTCTTTTGGCCGGGCATAGACCGTGAAAATAGCTTGGTGTTAAGTTGTCATTAGATAAGCACTTCAGTGGGCCGATGGGGCGTAGGTAGACGAGTCGTCGTGCGTATTGTTGATCTCATTTGTTTACGGACGTGTAGCTCAATATGTATAATTTTTTGTAAATTATAGTTAGAACTTTAAACCGTGTAAAATGTCTATTTTAAGAGATAATTAAGATGTATATATTTTGTAATGGAATTTTTATACATAACCCAATTTACTAAGTCGATGGTTGTATGAATTTTTCAGTGTCAACTGCTTCATGTACGATAGTGTAGTGTAAATAGTAACTTAAATGAAATGTGATATGCATTTTGACGTTTATTACATATAGGTGTATCATAAAATTTATATGATTACGTTGACATGAATTCCTGTATAAATTGATTGATATTGTAAAAATTAACGAGTACGTTGTTCAGAGATTGACGTTTCGAACATAAATAAATAACTTTTACACAATTCGTGTACACTTTTATTTCAGACACCATTTATTGTACGGACAATTAATTTGCAATAATCAATCACAGTAGGACAGAATTTTTAGGTTCATAATAATATAAAACTACAGCTTGATTTGGTTAAAAAAGTATGCCTTTTTATTATTCTTTCAAATAGTCTTCATCTAAATTTTATAAGAACATTGGACACAATCGAAGCTTTTTTACCGATAAATAAGTATAAATAATTTTATATTCACATAAATCGTCTTATTTATACATACATTACATTTAATATCAGTCCTCTCAAAAGGTCCATTCTCTCCCTGCAAATTAAAATTTATTATTTACACAGCGATAGGGATTCGCGTCTACCGTACATACATACATCAACAATTAACAATTAATAGAGACTATTTACAAAATATATTTTCACAAGCACTCATCACAAACATTCTTCACCGTTCACACACACCGATTTACATTCACACGATTTGGCATATGGATGGCGGCACATCACTAGCAGATATCGTCCCAGGCGAGCCACCAGGGCGCGCGGCAGTCTTCGCGCTTCCGCCGCCGGCGCTCGGCGCGATCGGACCGCTTCTTGACGAAGCGCACGTTGTACGGGTCCTCGGCTAGCTCGGGGTAGCGCGCCACGTCATGGATGTACTCGCCTTCGTAGCCCGCCGCAGAGCCTGCCTTTTGGATTTCGTCCAGTTCTGCAGCAGACCAGTCGAGCGAGCCGCCGAGCCCTCCGCGAAGCGCCTCGCGCTCTCTGTGCCACGCCTTTCGTACGGCTGCCGCACGGGCGTGATGCAGCAGCCTCTGTCGTTCACGCTCTGCGCTCGTTCCGTACCGCAAATTCACAATAGTAGTTTCACCATGTATTTTCACATCCGCGTAAGAGCGTCCTCCTTCAGCTACTTCATGGAATGTCACGTTCAGTTTACCCTGCATCCGTTTCAGCTGCTGTTTGTCATCAACGGCGCGCCATGTGTCTTCTTTTACGAAATAGAACACGTCCTGTTGATCGCCGTGTACCACGAACGAAAATGGCAGTAAGTGTGATCGGTTGAAAACAGATGTGTACACGTCTCGGTAGATTGCGTTGGCAGATGGAACGGCTGTGACTACGGCGCGACCACGCGAGTTACGTGATACGAGGATGCCTCTTCCGAAAGGTGGTTCTGAGTCAGATCCAATGCGTTTAGGAGCTAAGTTCAAAGCATCAGTCTTGAGAGCAGACATGGCTGTTATCGACAAGCTTTTGAAGTCCGCAATACGTTTGTTGGACATGTGTGATAGGAATCCCGACTCTATGCTGACGCTGGGCAGCAACGACATGGCAGAGGGTAGGCCAGGGTTGCTGTTGTCTGGTGCGGTTCCCCATACGGGACGGCCGCGGGGGATACTTGGCAGTACAGAGCCTCCAGGTAGTTCGTCTGGGTATAGTTGTGGCGCCAGGCTTTTGGTGTCATATCCCAGGAGTTTCAACCACGACATGTGATCTGAAATTTTCGGGGAAACGTTAAACTCGGCAAGTAAAAAGAAATGATCATTCTCATCTATGTTTGTACGTTTATTTTACTTATAATATCAATAATTACCAGTTGGCTTTTTGTTCTGTGGCTGCACGTTAATAGGATCGTTGCCATTAAATCGGTATAGGTGCAGTTGCGTCGGGTTGTGTATTCTTTCAATTAGATTCTCCCATAGTGGTGACATCCATTGTCCAATCAGAGGGTCGTACACTTTTCCATTGGCCATATGTACAAGTGATGTCACTTGATCGAGAAGTCCTCCGCAAAAGTCCACAGGCAGATACAAGTAAGGGTTGGAGTCGTAGACAATGTGACCGTATGGTGATCTCATTATTTCTCTGATACCTTCTCCATACTGATTGAATACCATTACTGGAGTACCACATTGATCGGTAGCAATATAATATTTATGACGGGCCACCTGAAAAAGAGACAGTTTGGATTATTTACTTCGAAGTGAGATTCACATTAATCTAGCCGCGGTTTTAAATATTTCTTTCAAATTGTTGGTTTTCAAAACTTAGTTATATTTATGTTATACTGGAATGTTTCGTATTTTAGTGCTTTTGAAATGTAATACTAAATAACTAAGTTAAAAAAAATTTTAGCACATATGAAATTACCTGTGTGTAAATGAGATATCCTCTGTCATCATAAACCAGTGTCATGAATCTGTTTTCACGGGGTGAGTAGATATGACTGACTTCGTGTGGTCTATCTTTGTTGGTGTAGAAGAATTGTGTTACATTTCCGAAATTATCCTTTCTTGTGGAGAGCCTAAACATAAAAATATTCAAATTAGCATGATAACTTAGTTTGTAAAAATTAATGGATGTTGAATAGGTAGCAGCTACGCTATAAGGAGTGAGCACGTAAAACGAACCTGTCTAAATGATCATAGTAATAGCGGACATCAAATCTTCCACGTTTCGTAGCCCTGGTCAACAAACCCTTGGAGTTGTACTGGAACCTCTCTTCTCTTGCATTTTGAGATACAAGACCTCTACTGTCGTATCTATATTGTCCTTCTCCGAATTTAATGATGCGGTCCATATCATTGTACTCCATGGGAATTGTATTGCCTCTGTAAGTCAACGACAACATGTTTCCATTGTCGTCGTATCTGAAGCCCCATGGTTCCTGCGCCTCAACCCCGGTCAACTGTCCATCACAATCCCAGGTGTAATTCTTCACATTAGTGTAACTATTGACACCAACATTTCTTGTATGGGTTCGTGTTTGAGATATTCTCCCATGCCTGTCGTAAGAAAACTCCATTCTGAAAACTTCCATCCTATGTATGTTGACAGTGACTTCCTTTTCTAAAAACTGTTCGTTCAGGACACGAGAGAACATAGCGATGCCATCGTATACGGATGTTTCGTTCCATTTTTGTTTGGATACAGTGAATTGTCCAAGAACTTCGGGTGCTCCAGTTTTGATGTTATACACGATATGATGTGGAATGAGCGTCTGCCCACCTATACGTCCTTGAACAGACGTTATTCTATAGTTGTTGTCATACTCGTAGATTATCTTTGCATTGCTTAGACCTGTTTTTGCGCCATAGTCCAGTCTCTCTTCAGTTAGTAAACCACCAACGTAAGTTGACTCCCATCTGTAGTCGACATCACGATCTACGTGCAATATTTCTGATGGAAGGCCGCTATTTTCGGCATAATGGATCTGTGTTTGTCCATCGCCGTGAACAACTTCTGAAACTTTGTTAGTCGTGAAATACCGGTAAACAACTCTAGCACCATCACCAGGGAATACAGTTTGCAAAAGTTCTCCGGTATGAGAATAATGCTGCAAGTACTTCTTAGTAGAACCTGGTGGTGTGTATGTGACCCTTAAGAACCCAATAGAAGGTTGTACACTGAATGAGTGATTAGTTGCAGAAGGCAAGACAACATGGGTCAAACCGCCATCTTCATCATACGTATATTTGAAACTTCTCTGGCTTGCTAACGTGATTTTTGACACAAGATTGCCTTCATTGTAGTAAATATATTTGGTTCCGTCTTGTGGGCTGGTAATCTCTGAGAGCATTCCGTGTGGGTCGTAGCTGTAGGTCTCCTCGCTTTCACCCCACTTCCATCCGTTTATCCTATAGAACCTGTCGTATGAGATATTTATGGGAACACCAGCTCCATGAGGAGAGAATGATAGCGGTAAGCCAGCAACATCATAAGAAATGGTGAAAAGTGGATTACGGTCCGTATTGAAGAATGTTTCTCGACTTTTGAATTGATCGAACTCGATAATTAGAACTCTCGAATCATTGACCCAAATTTCTCGGTTCAAAGTTTGCTGAGGATTTCTTACGTCGCCAACCAAAGTGTATAGAGAGTACATATTATTAACGAGACCATCTCCGAATGATGTAGTTTGATGTGACCACATATGGAGCATTTCAGCTTCAATGGGTAGCGCAGCTTCTAGTAATGGGTGTTTGGCAGCAGCTATGCTTTCGAACTTTCCACCCCACGGAGTATCCAAAAGCAACGTGTTATTGGAGTAAATTCGTCCTTCAGTTATCTGTTTCCCGTTATTAATTGTGATCTGTTTGAATGATTGGCCATGTAACACATATTCGCATTTCTTAGCCACTCCAACAGGGATAGTACTTGATGGATTTGAAACAGTCACTGCTAAGCCGTAATTTTTTGCGAGCCCAGATGATATGTGAACCTGTTCTCCAGATGGCATAATAATCTTGGTTACTCGACCAAATTCGTCGTACGTGTAGATGACGGTATCTCCAGCCTGAAAAAAGAAAAAGTAATATCAATACACTGTCTTCTACTTGTAGCATAGAGTCATTATAATTATTAAAAATACATACCCCTGAACGACTGTTGAGCAATCCAGAATTAGCATCATAATCCATTTCAATTTCTGAGGCGCCCTTCTTAGATATTTTGGTCAGGAACCCGATGCCAGATATCTTGAGTTCAAGTTTGTGGTCTTGCGTGTTTTCAATCGAGCTTACTACATTGCTGTAATCTCGAAGTAATTGTATCTTGTTTCCAGAAGCATCGGTTACAGTAGACAGCTTGCCAAAACTAGTGTTCTTTGAATAGAGGAAGGAATATCTTGTCTTTCCAGATGTCAAATCTTTGGTGGTGATATGTTGTCCGTATCGGTTGAATACATAAATTTCTGTTGTTGGTGGGTACGGTATTCTGAATTCTCCATTTTCGTCATGTGTAGGTAGATAGTGCTTCAAAGCAAGAATATGCAGGGAACCTGTGAAGTATAGTAAATAATTGTAGTTCATTGTACACACGCCAGCACACCAAGCTACACATTGACGTATCTTGTTCCGTTGCACTGGAGGCGATTTTCGAGCAAAAATGTGTAGTCTGGTGTGCCGTTGTCCGTACCTCTAATCATGTGTCATATAAATTGAATATGGTTTTTGGTTTTTACCTTGGTCTACAACATTTAGAACACCATCCGGAGTGACAGCAAGAGCCGATATAGTCTGGAATTTAGCGTTCGAAGATAGCAAGGTCTCTGTACTTGTTGGTGGCTCATCACCTGCCGCGACGCTAAGTCGGCAAGGGCAGCCTGCACCTTCTTCACGAGTATTGACTGGTATCGCAGTAGCAGAACTTGAGGAGTTACATTCACAGCTTAGTTCTTTTAAATTCTCCTGCAACTTTCCAGCGAAGTGCATAATCTTTCCAGAAGGATCTATAGTTTTAATGGTATTTTGTTTCTTTGAATCCGCTTCAGCTACGTAAAGAATACCACTGGGGGCAAACCCAATCGCTTGTATGGTTCCTAAGCTAGAGTCTTCTCTGAAGTCTGAATTAGTTCTGTTTGTTACTTTACTGATTGGCTTGCCGTCAGTCCCAACGCGACAGTGAGATGGTTGACCGGCTACAACCTTGATCTTCATATCTACTGTCAACTTGAGGATTATTCTGTCATCAATAAAGTAAAGAGATCCGTCGAGTGGAGACAAAGCTACTCCAGTAGGCCATTGTAATTGAGCCTCATAAGGAGGTATAGCACCACGACAAGGAACTGGCGACCAGTGGTTGTGATGGCCATGATGTCCAACTAATGTATGTATGACACCATTTGGATCAACCGCTCTAATGTTGGTGCCGTCAGCAATATACATTGTCTTATCAGCAGCGATAGCAAGACCTGAAATAAAAAAAAAAGTTTTTTATCACGTAAGTATGTTCAGTTCTTTCTTTCACAAGTTTAATATAAAGACAAATGGGTACCTTTTGGATGAGCAAGCTTAGCTTTAATAGCCAGTCCCTCATCTCCGCAGTTATTTTCATCACCAGGCACACAGCGATCACCATTACCGACGACAGGTTCAGAGTTTAACGACGGATCTCTAACTTTTTCCAATGCCAAGACCCTTTTAACTTGATGCTTTTCAGAGTCGGATATGTATAAGTGTCCGTCAGCTGGTGATATGCAGATATAGTATTGGTAAGCGACTTGCGTGGTTCTGTTAAAACAACAACAGGTAATTTATGAATTATTGTAATCAATTTGGAATTTGAGAGTATTGTTATTTTATCTTAAAGGAAAGTATTGTTTTGGGATGGTTTTTAGATGAAGCCTAAGAGAGTAACCTTTATGTTATAATAAGTTAAAAGGTAATGGTAGAAGTGTTTTAAATCTAGCTTTATTAATACTTACTCTAATTTAAGAACTGTGGTAACGATCCCTTCAGGAGTGATACGACGTACGAAGTTGAAGTCTCCCACATATAGGGATCCATCAGGTCCAGAGGTTAGAGCGGTTGGAGTTAACAGACGAGCGTCAGCTGCTTTGCCGTTGCAATGATCCGGACACTCAAGGGAGCGTTGGAGTCCAGTTCCCATTACCACCTGAATATTCCATATTGAAATTTGTTAGTTAGTTTCCATTTAATATTCGAATTTCATTGACGTGACGAAGTTTGAGCGAGTTTTGGGTTCGTGTAGTTAAGTAACCACCAATAGTTTCAGAGAATACTAAATATTATTTATTATTAAAATGGGATTAATCCTCACATGAAATTCATATAGGGTATACAGTATACATGGTACGGTTGAGACATATGATTTGATGAAATCAATGTAATAATCTTGGATACTGGCACCTTAGACTTCTGTAATATGGATGACAGCAACAATTAATCCTTACCTGTACAGTTCTAGGGTACTGCTTCAAATGCAACAGAGCTCCGTCTCCCTTTTGCAAAATGCCTTCGTGGAAGTTATAATGATGGTGTATATCAAGACCCCAGCCGCCAATATCAGAAATATCTACGTCAAAACCTGCCAGTGTAGCTGTCTGTGTCTCCCAAACGATAGATGAACAGGACGAATATTCGTAACCGATTGAAATCTTCGCTTGAGCTTGGCCGTATACCTAAAATATTTATTGATTATTTAATGCCGATTACTGTAATTAAGCATGTCGAAGTAGTTTGAAAATGGAAGTTTGGGTTTTTAACCGATTTCAAAAAAAGGAGAAGGTTCTCAATTCGTCTGTTTTTTTTAAGTCTCCACTTCGCTATTTGTGAACCAATTTAGATTAATATTTTTTTGTTGGAAAGAAGGTACCTCAGATGTGGTCCCATTTAAATTTAAAGGAAATAATCCACCTCTAAGGGTGGCAAGCCAGGGGATGAATGACTATTGAGGTCGGTTTTTTTAAACGGAGGTTAGGTTATTAGATATTAGTATGCTGATAAATTGAGGTGCTCCAAAATTATAAAATTGCTGTTTGAGAAAAACTACTCAATATCAAGACCAGTAATTAAGAAACGTATCGATCGAGTTCAGTTAAAAGGTATCCCGCATGCACGATGAACATGCTTTACCTTATAACCCTTAACTAAACGTAACCTTCAACGGTCTTGTTATTGTAGTGGTTGGCTGGTAATTGGGGTCGTAAATGACATTTTCACCTCACTAGCTAGCGTTTTTTCCTCCCTAGCGTGGATAAGATTTTTGAAATTCGAACTTGACGATGGACTGTGGTATACCCTTAGGCTCAACTCACACTAGCGCAGAGTCGAAGCGTCGCGACGCGTCATGTTTTTCGCCTATAGCATATTCATCTATATTTTCCAATTATTAAGGTACAAATTTGTGTTTTGCAAATATGGAATCGAGCGGCGACGCGCGTCGCCGCGCGTCACTTGGGAGCCGTGACGCGTCTGACGCCGACCAAACTGTGATCCCAGCGCACTAATGCTAGTGTCGTCGCGCCTCGACGCGCGTCGCCTGGCGGTGGAGTTGAAAAACAGGACGCGACGCGACGCTTCGACTCTGCGCCAGTGTGAGTTGAGCCTTAGAGGATGGAAAAAAATACCTACCTAACTTTTTCTTTCGATGAAAAAAAAACATAATGACACATTCAACTATTTAGCGACTTGTCGTACATTATTTGTGTAATATAAATACGTTGGTATATATTTTATTATTATTATTGTTCAAATTAAATTACTAGAACGATAACTAATTTTGTTTAAAACTGATTATGTTGTTGTTATAGTTCAACAGTTTTTCTATCATCTACCATTTTCGTCGCTATAATGAGGTGAGAAGTTGTTTGTTTCACTCGGCAGCAAAGTTGTTTTGCGTTTCGTGCCTTGAAACCCTCGCTACGCTCAAAATTCTATACAAGCACTCGTGTCAAACAACAACTTTGCGGCCTTGCATAACACATAACTCTTTATATGATTAAGGGTTAATCTGGTTTTTGCAGTGTCTTTCGATGAACGGTATGTTAATTGATATAGAATAATAAATAATAGTAATAAAATTTCACCTTTTGCTTATAAACGTTCCTCTTATTCCAAGCAAATACGTGTGTCAAGTCAGGATCCGCTTCATAACTATGTGTATGTAGAGAGCCCTCGATCTCAACTCGTACATGAACCCTGGCTAAGGCAGCCGGTACGACTCGACGCGTCAGTTGAATGTGGACACAGGAGAGGTACCCGGCAGCTTGTGAAGAACGGTAGGTCAGTTTGACTGATGAACCTGGGATGCCGATGGATTCACTTACGATCTGAAAAGTGTAAAGAAGACGGTATAAACACCTTTTTTATGACTTTGTATTAATGTACTAGGTACTCTGATGTTTCATTCTTTCTGTGTCTATGTAATTATTTTTTTAACTATCCTATTAATTATTCCACTCCACTCCATTTTAACTTTACTTAAGTTAAATTGACTCAATTAAATAGCAACTTCCGCGTGTTTTGTTTTAAGTTATTGTTATCGCAATGAAATCATGATGACGAGAAACTTCTATGGTTTAATTGCAGGATAGGTTCTACAGTTTAATTGTGCGAGTTAAAGTTCTATGGTTTAATTTGTGCAGGATAAAATTTACACCACGTTCTAAGTTATACAAGTGGAGTACGCTATGACGTACGAACCAGACTTACTTACTTAGTAATCGTAGCAAACATTACCAAGATGAAGGTTATTTTATTATTTATATTTTTAGTGATGGGCCGAATCGAGATTTCAACGAATACGAGTAGTCGGCCGAATATTCGTTACAATGATTACCGAACCGAATATTCGGCGGAATAATTCGGTAGGTATTGCCGCGCTTTGTCCTGATTTATAAATTAAAAAGTGGGTGCATGTTGAGCGCGCGACTCTTCTGCCCGCTTACCCCACCCCCGCATCCCTGCGGTTTTTTATTGCATCTAGACATGAGGAAAAGCGTTACATTTCTATCACTTTGATAAATCTAGCTTTTATTTAATGCGTTGAATATTTCTTGAATATGTCTAACTTTTAAATCGTGTCAACAACTGCGCAATTCTTTTTATGTTAAATAACTATACATACTGTTACTTAATTTGTGATTAAAATATATGTATTTTAAGAACTTGAGTCTCATTAAAATAAATAAACGAATTAAGGTTATATGTATCATTTTTGTTCAATCTCTTACTTTGTCTTGATAGACGTGCAAAGAGGAATCTATAAATAAAATATGTTCATATCTATCTATGTATGTATTATTAGTTAATATCGTAATAATAACTAATAAGTCAGGTAGGTATGTAATGTACCTAAACGATTTAATTTTCCGCAAAAGTATGTTCGGCAGAAATTTTTTTATCAAATAATCGGCCGAATACGAAAGTTCGGCTTTTGTGCCGAACATACCGAATACCAAATATAAAATGAATATTCCGCCCACCTCTGGTTATTTTGCCATAAGTAAATATCATGACAACAAGTACCTGAGCTTCAGGATAAACGACGGTAGTGGTGGTAGCAGATGAAGCAGCAGGTGCAGCTAGTGGTGGTACAGCTACCACTTCAGGTCGGAGACGCTCGTGGTCGTGGGCAGCGCAAGGTGGGGATTCCACTTCCCACCATTGGGGCATCGGTGACCAATCCAGACGTTGTGGTGCTCTGTGGGAAGGGATTGATTCTTTCAGTTATCTCATTAGATTACTCTTAGAGTTATCTTTAATGAAATATATGCAAAAATTGTTAATATTTAATCGTGTCGATACAGCTGAACGAATATGGATGAAATTGGCGTGAATAGCTAGATTGCTCCGTATAAATAAACCTACTGAAATAAACCTGACTGATTGGATTATTCATTCCGGAAAAAAATGCAATTCAATTACACCACGTGTCAATCGTAATTGAAGTGAAAATCGAATGCAGTCATATTATGCAATTTCCCCGTGGTAAAAGTTATTAGTATTGATATCTGTAGGTACAGTACTGTAGAATCATCCCGTTCAAAATCTTGCAGACTTTTGGATTTTTGCCAAAATCACTAATATGTACAGTGAGGATGGTAATTAAGGTAAATCTCACACTACCGCGATCAGCTCAAGTGTTTCGTCTACACAGGAATTTGTATATTCTTTACAATAATGACCTTATGTCTCCCGAGTACCTGAAACAGCGTTTTAGCTTTCTTAGGTCCCGGTATAAGCCCTGTCGCTCTCTCGTTAAGTTCCAGTTATCTTTTCCATCCTTCAATTCCGGTTTCTATTCTCACTTCTTCATACGTCACGTCAGACTTTGGAATGCACTTCCTATTATTATTCACGAAAGTAAATCGCTAGTTATTTTGAAAACGAGAGTTAAGTAGCATTATTTATCCACTATTCCATCCATATCTTAGGTACTATATTATGAAATATGTATTTATGTAAGTATTTATGTAGTTTATAACATTTAGTATTTTGATATTGTTTTTGTATTACATATATTTCGTTTTGTTATGCATATATGCCCGTTATTTTAGGTATTGTGGCCCGTATTTAGGTCTGCAGGAAAAAAATCTTTTAGAGTTAAGTAGAACCTTTTTGTTTAGGGTTTCCTTTCATTAATGTGATTTGTGTGTTTGTCCTGTGCAATAAACGAATAAACACAACCCATATTTATAATAAATGCACTCCTAATATTGGGTACAATTTTATAACCTAATGCGCTTTAGGAAAATATTACTTTCATGATAAACAACTTAATTAGAGATTACGACGTTGATTGATTTATGCGATGAAAGGTACGATATAAAGGCTTTAACGGTAAATGTTTTCTATGGATACAGCACCAACGTCGTCAACGGTAGATCGGTACATAATATTTAAAAAAAAGATGCAAGTAATACCATGTCGGTTTATTTCTTTTTTGTTTACGACTGTGGCCGAAACCGCAAGTCGATTACAAAAGATTGAAATTCAAATAACGTTCGCCTTCCGTATCATTTTTTCATAAATTCACTGAGCGTACGCGTGATCCAGTGCCGGCCCTTCTCCTCAATAAATAACTTACAACTGTATTTAATATACTTAGCATGACATACAAGTCGAAAAGAGAAAATTTCTAACTTGGTGCTTTTTATTGACGTTAGCGACATAATCCTACCTGTTTATGTAGATAACTCTCTGTTATTGTTAAATGCAATTATCCTAGAAGTATATGCTTACTTTTGTACCTGCCATATATGTATGTAATAACTGCCTCCGTGGCCGAATGGTTAAATGATCCTGGTCTGCCACGTAGACGTCCCAGGTTTGATTTCCGGGTCGGGAGAAATATTTGAATGGCCTACATTTATTTCTCTCGTGAGTTTGGATGTAACTTGTGGTTGTCTATGTGTGTGTCCATGGCACTTGCGACACAGGGTTTCTTTAGTGCGGGGCTAAGAGTGTGTGCGTTATTTATTTATTTATAAATACATTTTTTTATATGAGCTGCAAAGTTATTGAATTTAGTAGTACATAGTTTTTTACTATGATATAAATTTTTTTTTGTAAAAATATTCCACTACTTTGTTATTAACAAACAAGCACATAGAGAAATTCGTAAGACTAGCTGGCTCAATCTGTAGCCCAGCTGATAACAGTGGTAGCCACGTTGAGGCCAAAGACACTGGTTGAGTTCAGTAGAAAGGAAGGATTTATTTGTGTTTGTTCGACATTTGTCTCAAGAATATATACACAGAATTTTAAATTTACAATTTTAAACCTGTGAACAACGATAACGATGTAAATTTCGATTTTCAATTAAAAACTTTGTACAATTTGTATAAATGTAATTCAGAATGGTAGATATGCTAACCTGGGTGTAGGCACTTTGACGCTCTCATCCGTTAATTCCATTTGTACTGGCGGTAGGACGACGATCTGATTCCATGGCACGAAGACGGTCTTCCGTAAAGGTTTGAACGGCGATCTTTGGAACTGCAGCGTCACTGCACCACCTCCATTCACCAACACGTCGAACCTTGTTAAATAAGTGTAAAGGTTAGTTTTTCTGTTTTATATTCCGAAATCAATAAAGATCAAAGGAATGTTCTAGAATGTGTCTATTTTCTTTGCCTATGTTTATGGCAACTCATAATTGTGTTACGTAGAACTTTAAAATTTAAATAAAATTAAATTTCGCGATTGATACACATTTGATTTGATACACACACTGAAACTATTTTTTCGCAACTAAATTGCGTATATTTGTTTTTTCCCATGTCCCATGATCACGGCCAATTCACACTGGGGCCTTACTCCCGAAGACGAAATCCGTAGTTACGGCCCTTTCCCACTATGGATGACTTTTCATAGTGGAAAAACGGCCGTAACTATCTATCGTATGTCGAAGTTTCTCAAAAATACAGCCCCGTTCTTCCTTAGTTCTAGCTCCGATTCAAACTCAAGTCTGTAAGTAAGTCATCCATACTGGGAAAACGGCCGTAACTACAGATTTCGTGCTTCGAGAGTAGGACACCTGGAACTGCTAAACGGCCCCAAAACGTTGGTTTGTTTAAAAAACAAACACACGCGATTTAGATCCGGAAAAATAGTTTCATTTCCTGTAAAATTTAATTTTTTTGTCTAAGCATCGATGGAATTTGAAATAAAATTTACAATCCGTATGCTTTATTGTAAAATGTAAAGATGTAACAGGCCTCTATCATATGAAATTTCCGTTCTTATCGACTCAATCTAGTATCGATTCCGTTCTCATCGCGTGACAAGCGGATATAATAGTTAGATGAGAATTAACAATCAATGTAAATATTTGATGTATAACATGCATTAACTTCCCGGACACGGTCGTTACGGATTTTGTGCTCGCACTGAGCCGCGCCCGCCGTATCCTAGAGCAGAGAGTATGAAATCGAATCACTTTAGAGGCGTAACAAAACCTGTATCATGTGAACGCTTAATAAAATAATGTCATGCTTGCTATCATGGTTAACTATGCGAATATTAACTATGATAAATCGGTAATTGTCCTTAACTTCAACACTCCGTTTTTGTACAGGTAATTTTAATTTTATACATTTTTAACATAAAACCGTGAATTTACTCTGGAGCTACGAATAAAAGACTTGAACGAGTACGCGCAGTAAATTAGTTTGAAATTAAGTACACCCAAACTTTTTATGGGACACATGGGATTGAAGTAAATCATGATAAAATATGTAGGGTACTTAAGTTTTAATGTTCTTTTTTTTTGCAGCCACATAAAACTGCTTTGAGAATTCGGATGTCTCGTTGAGATAAAAGAATAGGAGGCAACAATGCGTTTTAATGTCGTTTAGTAGTTAAAATGTAACTATTATATTTCTTGTTATCTTAAATTTACGTTTCCGCAGTTTAACGGAGAAACATTATTACCCGGCAAACATGTGAAGAATGTTTAATACTATTGTAGAAAGTATATCCTTATTACGTTAAATATTGGTGGCATGGATTTTGACTAGTAGATACCTAAATATAAATTCTAAATAATTGAATGTAATCTTTTTTTTATTATTACTTGGTTGAAGATTATCAAGCTACTTTCGCACCTAAAATGCTACCGCTAGTTTCGTTTTTCACACTAACCTTCATGTTCTTTATAATAGAAATATTTTTAAATTTACGCGATATGGGATGAAAATTTTATCAATACAAAACAAACGCAGTACTTACCATCCACCCTGTCTTGTAAGCGTAAACCCGAACCTCGCTTCTCTATCGACGGAGACCCTGATGCCGATGATGCCCAGTCCTTGGGGTGATACCACTTGCCCCCGCATCACGGACACGCGGCTGCACAGAATGTTTTATCAGTCACCGCAAAAGACTGCGATACACGCCGTTTCGAGCGATATTGTTCACACCATCATTTGTTTCGTGGGATACAATGGTACGGAGGTTGTGCAGTTTTGTACCGCAGTTGTTGAGTGAGATTTGCGTGGTGAAAATGTAATTAAGTTTTGTTGTTGTGTAATGTTAAATTAATAAATTAAAAATTATGAGCGATAATGCTTGTGACAACAAGGGGTGTCAATAATTTTACAGCTTCAAAACCGATGCTTGTATTCTTGTAACTGTTAATGCATTGCGTAGTTTGCCATGAACACCGAAATAGTTACTTTGTTTTAATATGTTACTTCCGCTTGAAAACTTTTGTGTCGGGCACAGTTATATTTTTTTTAGATTTTTTTAAGTTAAGAATATTTGAGGAAATCTCCAGTAAATCCCAGTTTCTATTGTTTAGTACCTACTGACAAAGCTTGGTCTGATCTTTAGGTTGTAAATTTGGGTGTTTCACATGTTATTTGTTAACCTATGAAATAAAGAGAACTTACTACATTTCCGCTTTTTATTCGAAATATTATTAAGCCATAACGTCGGATAAAATCGGATGCTTTATTACCTATAATTCGGTGGCTGACTGACAAGGACTGCACCTTTGATAATTAAAAAAAATATTGAAGAAAAACAAACGTTTAAAATGTTATCTGTAATTTTATGTAACATTTAAATGAACTCTTTTCATGTGTAGAAATAGAAAACGTAAAAACTTCGGATATCAATAAAAAAAATTGTAATTCTGTATTGAGATCCAGTTGTCATATTCCTTGTCATTATCAGAACTTTCAAATTTATAGTGAGTTAAGATCTTGTATATTTAACTTTTACTTTATGGCGGGACAAACAAGTCGTGCGCCTGGTGGTAAGCGACATGTCTATTCATAACCGTTGCAGTACATCACAGCTTTAAATAGCAAAGATCTTATGGGCACTGCCACTGCGCCTTTACCCTCAGACATAAGTTGACAAGTCCCATGTGCCTGTAATTTCACCAGCACCCTTACCCTTTTAAACTGGAACGCAGTAATACTCACATTACTGCTTGGCGGCAAAAATAGGTAAAGTGGCAGTACTTCCCTGGACGATCTCTTTCACAAGGAGCTCTACTGTTTGCAAACATCCTAAAGCCTCGCGTGTATCAATATGTGAATTAATTCAGACCCAGACAATATTATTCTTATGATCGTTTATATGATCATAGCCCAGATTAGATTATAATGAAAATGTATTCAAATATATCGCTATACCTATATTGTATATAATCATAGGGCTTAAAGAAAAATATGTTTTTCATACAAACGAAGATTGATATTTATTTAGTACATTTTAATGAATATTGGGCATTTAGCGCTTTTCACATTCTCTGGGCCTTAGAAGGTTAAAATACAAAAATCGTAAATTGTCACATCATTCCGGGATCATTGGATTTAAAAGAACGAAGAACATATTTTAAGAAGCCGCTTCCATATTTTGACAGCAATTCACGGAAAAATTAAATTTAGGTATAAAAGCATTCGAATATACGATAACCGATAAATCCGAGTACCGATCCACTAACTTTAACTAGCTTAATATATGACCCTTGTTATTGTATTATATTTGCTTATGTAATGGATTTCGTCGAAATAAGTAAACCAATCAATGAATGAATGATATTTATTTTTACTTAAGTGTTGCTGCGCAGGTATCTGGCGATCTCGTCTTATTTCAACGAGACAGTTTAGTCTTCTTATTAATGTTACACTGTTAACGTTATGTTGTATTTTATTTCTAAATAATTGAATGGATGACCATTGATTATATTTTGCACTCGATACTCGAGTATAATGGTAACATTTGTAACTCTATCAATACCATACCGTCAGGGATAGTGCAAATCCGCGTATGTAGTATAGGTACAAGGCGCGTATCTGCACTGAACCAAATTTCACAGGAGAGGGATTTAACGTTATTACTCTGTTATTTAAATGGCTACGACTTTCATTTTTACAACAGTAAGCATTAATTTGTGTTGTCTGCGGACAGATGACAATAGATTCCCGTAAATCACGCTAATTTGGTTGCCACGACATTTATGCGGATTTAATTTGGCCACTAAATTACCGAAATGGAATAATCAAATGCTAGTTACGCGTAATTGCATTATCCCCGACGATATTTGATTGAATTTATTTAAGCTTCCTGGCACTCAAATGAACATGCTGTAAATTAATCTGACATTCGTTTTACGATTTCTTAACACTAAGATATATTATCGGTTAAGAGTCCGTAGCTAGGGGATGTTCCGTACCTTTTAGCAAATCATTAGTATTTATCTAAAGTCGTGATGTACACAAACAGCAGTTAAGTAGCAGTAGAGCTCCTTGTGAAAGAGTTCATCCAGGGAAGTAGGCATTGCCACCTTACCCATTTTTGCTGCCAAGCAGTAATCTGAGCATTACTGCGTTCCAGTTTGGAATAGGTCAAAATTACAGGCACATAGGACTTTGCAATTTATGTTTCAGGGTGACGGGCGCAGTGGTAGTGCCCCTAAGATCTTTGCGATCTAAAACTTTGAGTGGCACCGCAACTGTTATGGATAGACGCAACACTTGTTCGTCCCGTCACTTGGTATTATAAAAAAAAACAGACACTTCAAATAGGTACATGTACCTTGTTTGAAAAAGTACTTTTGGAATTTCTTCAACTGCTGAGCATAGGCTATAATTCCCATGCGAACGCAATATGGATTGGCAGGTAGATATGTGCAGATTTCCTCAAGATGGTTTCCTTAACCGAAAAACTCAAGGTACATTACAAATTAAACCTCGCACATAAATTCCGAAAAGTCAGAGGTGCAAGCTCGGATTAGAACCTACGATTCTCTGCGGTAGGTCAACCATTAGGCTACCTTTTTATAATAATTTCAATTTCGTTTACATATTTGACTATCAATTTATGTTTATTTTGTCGTCTTATGGTGTGTAACAACAATAGAAAATTTAATAATAATAATAATGCTATCCAGCGTCAAAGAGTAAACGTACTTTAATTTCTTATAACCATGACTACGGGTACATTAGGTAGCGTTGTAAGGTAATAAAGATGTATTAAGATCCAGCTAATTTGAATTAAAAAAAATCTCATTTTTATTTTATAGTATTGATTAAATGAATAATGAAATTAATAGACACTTCTTATAACCGTATGTTAGGCTGGGAAGCCACAGGTGGAATATAAATATAGCACTATATATATATATATATATATATATATATATATATATATATACTTTTATACCCAGACGCTTTTATACCCAGACTTCATTTGTCAACTGCCTCCGTGCCCGAAGTGATATCACGCGGTCTGCCACGCAGAGTCTCCGGGTTCGATTCCCGGGCCGGGAGAATTATTTCTATGGTCTACATTTATTTCTCTCGTGAGTTTGGATGTAATTTGTGGTTGGCTACGCGTGTCCATGGCACCCGCGATACGGGGCTAAAAGTGTGCGCGTTATTTATATTATTTATTTATTTTCGTGAAATGCTATCGAAATATGGAAGGGACTTCTTAAAATATTCTTTTTGTTCTTTGATACGAAGTTTGTATTTTAAATTCGTACTATTTCTTTCATTGTAAATTTTAATGGTCTGATCTTGATCAGGTATATGACAACTGGATATCAGTACCGTGAATAGCTAGAATTGTCAAATTTAAACTTTAACCATGGTACGATGGTTTTAAAATGGATAGTAAAAAAATTACTCACAAAACTGTTTTTCTTCTGGATTTTTGACATTTTCTATTTATATGCCAAAAAAAGGATTTATAATGTTACATAAAATCATTCGCATAACATTTGAAATTTTTATTTTCGTTCAGTTTTTTAGTTAATAATTTCGTCAACCCGTGTCCGTATTATGTAATCCGGGGTCGCGAGATTTTTTCGATAGAAAAATGTATTCCATGTTAGCGAGCATCCAAAATGTACATAAATAAGCATTCGATTATTTATTATTACAGATGGAACAACATAAACATAAAGAAACATTCCTCCGACTGGACGCGAACAAACGACTGTTTCCTCAACTTGGCTAAACAGCCGTTTAAACTCAATACAAAGATCCGCAATGGGTACATGGAGAAATTCATAAAATCCACTGATCGTTCTGCTGGCGATTCGTAGCTCAGTCGGCCGAGTGGTAGCCACGTTGAAGCAACAGTGGCTGGTTTGAATCAGGTTGAAGGATTTCTTTTTTATATTACTTAACGACGGGATGAACAAGTCGTGTGCCTGGTGATAAGCGGCACTCCTGTCCCTAACAGTTGCAGTGCCACTCAGAGTTTTAAATCACAAAGATCTGAGGTTAGGGCACTGCCACTGCATCCTACACCCTGAGACTTAAGCTGACAAGTTCCCTGTGCCTGTAATTTCACCAGGACTCTTACCCTTCTAAACCGGGATGCAGTGATGCTCGCATTACTGCTTGGCAGCAGAAATACGTAAGGTGGCATTATATCCCTGGACGAACTCTTTCACAAGGTACTCTACTGCTACTAAAATTTTTCATTATATTTGTTTGATCTTTGTATCAATAGTGTAAGGTGTCAAATCACAAGATCTCGGTGGCTAACTGTGATCGCCTCTTCGAGAAATCACACGGTCAGGAAACTTTTCACGAAAAATAGTAATGGTATAACAGTGCCAATCAAACACCTTTGGACTTTTTTATTTGGGGCTACGTGAAAGATAAGGTATATGCCAGTGGCCCACAATCACTTCAAGACCTCAAAGATGGTATTAGTGAAGTTATCGAGGACATACAGCCGCAAATGTGCGAATTGGTGATGGAAAATTTCATGGAAAGAATATGGTCCTGCAAGCGCAGCCGTGGCGGCCATTTGACTCATATTGTTTTCCTTTACTAATGGCATTACCCTCCTCTTTACAATTAAATAAACATCCGATGATT